ACCGCTCTTGCCTTTGAAGCTAACCTTCCTATTGGGAAATGGTAGCCTGTTCCATGAGGTAATCTAACATTCTTCAGCGGAGAAGATCTAGTGGATGAATAAACAAGATATTTAAGGACCTCAGCAGTAGGTATCTGGCTCGACCTTCTGGATGTGACAGCGTTAGATAAAGATGCAGTGTCCCTTTAGGGGCAAATAGGTAAAATCAATATGTAGCCTTGTCAGCAGGTTTCTCCCTCACACCTCCCCTTCCAAATTACCTGTGAAGCTGCTGAAAAAATGGCTTCAGTGCTTGCTGCATCTTGAACCTCGGGATATACTTGAGATCCAGAAACTCTTTTCTGGAAGATGATAGTGGCAATGCTTGAAACTGAGAACACAGGGAGCCTGTGAAATGCTAATGCTAATATGTTTTCAGGAGGAATACAAGGAAAAAATAGTTCTAGGGCCAGTGGATACTCTAAATGTATAAAGTTCTTGTCTGTAGTTGAAAACCCACCTTTAATTTTTTGTTTTCTTTAATAAGCATTTTGCTCTTCAGTTATCTGGTGTTAGTGATGCCCTGAACGTAAAGGTTTAGGCTACCCACCTCTTTCCCCCTTCCGTTGAAGTTGTGTTGCATAAGCAAGCTTTTCTTAAGTTTACTCATTTTTCTTACTTAAGCACAGAGGATGGATAATTATATTTATTGCTGACAATTATCACACTTTTTGCAGTGTCTCTTGTTAGGGCACAATTGGAATCAACTTGAGCTAGCGAGCCTCCTGTCCTGGGTCTGGGGTTATAAATGAAACCTCATTTTGACTTTTTCACAGCAATTCCTTTATTTAGAGGGTCACCCTGCAAGCTGAGCCTGTTGGCTGTGGAGTAAACTCTTAAGTCTATATATTTAAATCTTTTACGTAGATTCAAGGCAATAGAAAGTACAAGTATTAATGATAAACCGTTTATATGAGCTAAATGGAGCTAGGATGCGTTACAAATAAAAATTCTTATCTAACACAGTTTGGTTCTCTCCTTCCAAATTTAACAGGCTAACTGTTAGTGGACACCTTCACTTCCTACAATGGCACAGAGATCTGGACAGGAAGATCCAGAGAGGTACCTCTTTGTGGACAGGGCTGTGATCTACAACCCTGCCACCCAGGCTGACTGGACTGCCAAGAAGTTGGTGTGGATTCCTTCAGAGCGCCATGGTTTTGAGGCAGCCAGCATCAAGGAGGAAAAAGGGGATGAAGTGTTGGTTGAACTGGCAGAGAATGGAAAAAAAGCACTAGTCAACAAAGATGATATCCAGAAGATGAATCCCCCCAAGTTCTCTAAAGTGGAAGACATGGCAGAACTAACCTGCTTAAATGAAGCTTCTGTATTGCACAATTTAAAGGATCGGTATTACTCTGGGCTCATCTATGTAAGTACTAACTATTAGATTCTTTTCCTGGTGCTAATTCAGCAGAAACCTATCTAATTCCTGCTTTTCTACATTGTTTGAAATGGAGGAAGTGGGTTTTAGCTCTGTTCTTGATAACATAAATACTGACGTGACCCTGGCAGTTAGCTTAGGCCAGGATTGTCTTTGGTGCTATGTCCAGGTCAATAATTCTGTGTTGTCACTGTACAAATAATAAAAATTTCTCCTATGGAAATAATTCTGTGAGCATCTTTCAAAAATAGAATGCTAAATGGCAACTCTAGGTGCTTAGCTCATGCCGCTAGTTAGAGCACTTGCCTCAGACATGCTTAACTGATACAGTGAATAGTATCAAATAGCTTGTTTGAGCTGATGAGATATTATGAAATCCAACTTTGCTGAATTACACTTGTCTAATTGCTCATATGAATAAGCATGTATCTTGTTTTGACTTACTGCCTCTTAAGAATGGTAATAAGAAGATAGACTCTTATTTAAAAGCTGAGGTTGGAAAATGCTAGGAATACAAAATGTCTTTTTTGGAATCTAATAGCAACCTAGTGGGCCAGGAAATAATGTATTCAAGTGCTTAAAATAAACCAAAAAGATAAAGCTCTCTCTTTTTTTTTTTTTTTTTTTTTTTCCAGCTTTTTGGAAGTGCTAATTGAAATGTCTGGCTTATCACCATCTTTCTATAGTGTTAGGAATCACAAAGCCATTGATGTTTCTTTTGACCCTGTTTCTTCCTTGAATGCTGTTCAATGGACATCTGTGGCATCTACAGTTAAGACTAGCTCCTTGTTTCTTGGCAATCTGACTGCAGGGCTGCTTGTTGAGTTGCTTGATGAGTATCATTAAGAGCTACAAGTATACTTTCCATCTTAAAGGAAACTGTAACATCTGCCTAAATGCTTGGCTTATTTTCATAAACACTTGTAAAGCGTAAACTCATCTTTGTCTAGCTGTCTAGTTGGCTCTTTTGCTTGCTTTTTTTTCTTCCTTCTAGGTATTCATGGGCCACTGTTTCTTGTAGCTTGGCCAATGATAATATTTGGACTTCCCAAAAAGTCATACGCAACTTCCAAATATTTTTCATGCCTGTATTTCTGTATCATTTTCCTATGTGAGATTGTGTCCCCTCCCTTCCCCAGCTTCTGAGGGCTTTTACCAGGACCCTTAAAGTAGAATTTGGCAAAAAGTACTTGCAGGATTCTTTCCACAAGCTTATAGGGAAACTGACTGGATAATTGGTAAAGACTGAAATGAAACTTAAAAGCAACCATGTTGATAGGCTAATTTTCCTTCTCAGTATATACTTAAACCTGAAGACCATAAATACCAAAGCAAGCCCTAATCTAAGAGCTCATCCTGCAAACACAGCCATGAAGGCTTTTGAGTATGGAGCTGAGAACCTGTCACTTTGCTATATACAGAGATGGTTCAGCACTCTGAAACTTTGGACAATTGACAAATGAAGAGAAGAAAGTCCTTTGTAGAAGGCTAGATTATCTAGATGTATTTCAAGTGGCAATATAGAGTTGATTTACTCCTTCCCCTAGAATTTGCCCTCAAAGTGCTTTCTTTTTTAATTCTTTATAAACTGTGCTCTTGGCATGGAGTTACTAGTGTCACAGGAGGATTATTCCTGTGCATTTCTATTACTAATGGCTGCCTCTTGCCCCCAAGCTGGAAGAAGTTAGTTTAGCATCAAGAAGCTAGTGGATTTGTTGGCCTAAACTGGAAGCCTGAGTTCCAGGAGCATTGCTGCAGGATGCTGCTGTTTCTAAGAATAGTGTCTCTACACAGCTGTATTAGTGGCTTCTTGGCTGAAATTAAAACTCAACTTACTTGGAGCTGTGAGTAGATAGTAGAGGAGGCTAAATATTGGCAAAAATCAATAGGCAAACAATTTTTATTGAGAACTTGATGACAATTTTTAGTGCAAATCTGGGTAGGGATTTTGCTCTTGCTTTTGTTTGCTTAATCTATTGATGTACACTTGGTACAAGGAGAAAAATGCAACATTGACTGGAGTGATGAAATGGATTATGGTGCCTCCCTTGTGAGGAGAGTCAACTAGAGATATGTTTCAAGTTCCAGACAACACTGTCATAATATTTAGTTTTGGAGCTAGTTTAAAATTGTGTGGTTGAGAGAGAGGTGAGAGTCAGATTTGGTTTCTCTGTTTACTATAGGCAATATACAGTGTTGCCTGCCTAGGAAATAGGAGGTAACGCTGTCAGCTGAAGTAGATACATATTTCCTTCAGATCCTTAGATGAGGAATTTGGCCAAAGGTCTAGTTATCTGTTTATAACGTACTGCTTCAAGATGAGACTGCTTAGGGGAACAGAAAAGATCAAAGCTAGCTAGTGACAGCCAGCATGATCTGGAGTGGTCTTCATGTCATCAAGAAGAGACCCAGGGAACCTCCAAAGGATGTTTAGGGTTTTCTGGAACTTCTATTATCTGCCTGGTGGCATGACCTCTGTCTCCTGAGTTGTGTTGTGCTTGTGTGGTGGGAGGTGAATGAAAACAGAGGTTCTCAAAGACTAATTCCTTGTAAAAGAATGATGTCCCTGCCTTGCTTCTGTTAATTATGGGGTGTGGGGAGAAAGATGATAGATAGCAGGGCACTAAAAGAACTGTGGAAGGTGCGGGGGGAAGTGTTGGAGTATAGTCTCTGATCTCTTGCCTGTTCTGCTTTGGAGTGTCAACCTTCAATGGCAGTTCTAGAATTAAATTTGTAATATCCTTTATAGCTGTAGATCACAAGCTGTTCAATATCGGGGTACCTGAGAGGAAAGGTGAAAGATAGGACTAAGTATGATTCTGCTTAGACTGATCTTTTATGGTGATTATTTCATATTTTTAATCTGTAAAGAGTAATTTTTGCATTAAGTGTACTCTGCCCTCCCCAAAAGGGACCTTCCACTTGTTAGATGTTTTAGATCACTGAGGTCTGTAGCTTGAGTAAGGAAACATGTTTAAGGGCATGTGTGTAAAATGCCGCCATGAAGCCTTCTGGACCTGAGTCTGTGTGGTCGATATCTGAAACATCTCACCAGGTCTATTAAATCAGCTAAAGGTCATCTTTATGGATTAAGCATTAACGCTTGAATCGGAACATGAAATAAAGAATGTGTGAATCAGAATATGGAAAGTAAAGACTATTGAAAAGGGTTAGTTTTAAGGGACTTCAAACTTGAATGCTTCAGGAGTTCTCTCGGCTACTCTTGCCTTAATTTGTGACAAGCTGTGGTAGGTGATGTTATGGCTCTGGTAATTCCCCTTCTCACTGTTCCATAAGACCCAGGGCTCCTTGTGAACCAGCCTCCATATTTTCACAGTTCAATATAACATCTTAACATAGAAAATCACTGATTTCCTTTCATGAAGGTTCTGCCCTGTAAGCTGGGGAAGTTCAGCAGCCTCTCTGAGTATTTGTCACTTGCTCTCTGGTGAGTAGGGTGACATCTTGCCGAAATTGTGACTTTGGCAGAGACAGTCTAGCTGTCCCTCGAAACTGGGACACGGGGAAAAGGCATATGTTTCAACTGAGGCTTTACTTTTGGTGGGGAGGTATGTGGGTGCGAGGGGAGGTGGACAAAGAAGAGGATTTAGTCTGAAAACAACATACTAGGAGGAAAGAAAGAAGGATGCTGCACTTAACATGGAGGGGGAGGTGGTTTCTGCGTTGATACAAAGATACAGAGTCAAAAAGCTGAAATAGCTTTTATGTGTGTAAGTGTAGTGTTTTGTCTCATCTCAATCTTTGCATGCACTTCAGTGTCAATTTAAAGACTTCCTAAATTGACTTTTAGGGTGTATATGTTGGCTTGGTGTGTGTGTTGGGGGGTGTGTGTGTGTGTGGTTTTTTTTTTTTTTTTTTAAAGGCCCTTACTCAAAGTTCACCATCAAGTGAGATGGAACAGCTGATCAGAAGGGAATAGCTGAGTTGTGCTTTGTCATCTTGTTCTGAACCGAAAAAGGTGTGAGAACATGTTCAATGCTAGCTCTAACACTGTGAAAGTCAAAGTGATCAAGAGTGTCCAAATGTCTTCAATAATGAGTTAAAACACTTGTATTATGCTCAAAATACATTTTTCTTAGTATTTGGAACCTTAAATTTCCTGAAAAGCATTGAACCTGGTCAAAATGCAGCTAGTTACAGCTGAGTAAATGGAAAATGACTGCAGTTCCAAACACCTTGTATTGGAATGTGCAAGCTAATGATTTGCTGTTCCTGGCACGGAGCTAGATGAAATTTCTTTCAGTAATTTAAATTGGAGTTTTTGTCAGTCCATCTGTGATGGAAAATGGAAGGGTCTTTCCTGTTCTTTCTTTTCTTTTTGGTTTATATGTTCATATGTACTTCAAGGTAAAAGTGCAACCTCATGTTCATCTTGTTAACAAGAATGTTTTGTTAAACAAATGGATGTTTTAAGTGCACAAAAGCCAATCCTGCAAACTACATTCACCTTCTTGCTTTTCTGGAAGAAGTAGAAATATTAGTTTAATGTCAGAGTTGTAAGTGGTCATGTTTTAATAGTCTCAGTGGTAGGATCAGACTGCTATCTGAAACTCTTGTATAAATAGTTACTTATTAAGTAGCAATGAAATACATAACTATTATGGTTTGACGGCATCATTAAAACCTGAAAGAAGGTATCCTAGGACCAAAAATAACTTGTACATTCAACAGTTCCTGTCCTTAGTACAGTAAGATGGGATGAAGCAGCAACTGAACCCTTAAATGTAGGGAGTAATCTAACTCCAGTAAGGCATAGGATAATCAATATTTGATAGCCTTTCAAAAAAAAAAAATCTATTTCAAGACTTGTTGCCCTGTGCCCTACTTTAGATTCGGGTCTCCTGGAAGAAGTTTGTAGCCCACATTTGATTCTGTGCAGCTTGCTGATGCTCACCTCGGTCACTGCAATAACTACTTAACTGCTTCCTGACCTCATTCAGTCAAAATGAATAAATTTAAATATTTGT